CGCACTCCACTCCTCCGCGTTCGCCTTTACCACCCGGGCGTTCACCTCTATGGCTGGAGCGCACTGCGAGCTCGAGTTCCCTATCCGGAACTTCGACGCCAGAACCGCGAACACCCTCGATGAACTCAAACACCGTCTCGCCTCCGCAGAACAAAGCACGATTCTCATAGTCCTCTCCACTTAGCTATCTTGATTTACCTCTGGGCCGTACCCATCGCACACTCCCTCGACTTGCACCATGTCCCCTTGTTTGTTCATACCCTGTGAACTGTCCGTCCTTTGTGTCTGCCATCCCTGTTTCTTGATAGATGTGACTTGCCTATCGTACGCCTGATATCCTGTCTCTAACGAATATGTGTATTGTAGCACTGTACATGTATAATCTTGCACCGATAACCCATCTCATGACGACAAGGTTTACAGTACGTGAGTGGTATACGCACAGTTCCCGATCTTACTCCTCGGAATCCTCGCATCACTCAACGTTCAATAGTCCAGCCAGGTACACTTATCGGCTATCACCGACGGACCACACAGACCACCTCTCCGTCCCGGCCTTATGACCCCGGCCCTGCCTCTATCTCGAACTTATCTCTCACCGCCATGTCCTCCTACAAGGCTCAATTCGACGCGAACGGCTTCGTGATCATTCCCTCCCTCATCTCTCCCGATCTGTTCGACGATCTCGTACACGCGTGCGATGCGGTTGTGGCGCAGACGCGTGAGGGAAAGTGGCCGCATCGGCGCGTCGTGGGCAAGCAGTTCCCGCCGTACGATAGCGAGAACCCGGACTCTTGGGGCGTGCAGCACGTCATGCATCCTGATCTCGGACAGAAGGCTTTCGCACAGTACTATACGTCGAAGGCCATGCGCGATGCTGCGAAAGAGCTGCTTCAGTGCGAGGACGACAACTTGCAGATGGGTAAGATTCCCCCTACATCGCTCACGACGTCGAGCGGCCACCTTGTGCTGCAGTCTGCTTCTGCGGAATGCGCCCCGTGTCTTACACTATCTGCTCCTCTCTCTCGGTGACTGCCTGTCGATCTGTCTAACGACTTCTCTGATCAGAGCTCTTCAACCTCTTGATCAACCCTACGTCTCACGAGTTCGCCCTTTGCTGGCATCGGGACGACGTAAAGGCGGGTGCTTCTGAACAAGAAGAGCTCGACGCCCTGGCCATCTGGCACCGCGGGGTACGTTCTCGCTTCTCACAGAACCATGCGTGCAGATGCTGAATCTCAATTACATCGACAGGTTCAATGGAACACGTGAGACGGCTCATCTGCCTCTTTACTAATGGATGCTTACTGCGTACCGTCTAGAGCACTCTATACGGACACCTCGCTGTTCGTAGTACCTGGCACGCACAAGGTTCCTCGTACTCCCGCTCAGCGCGAGCAGTCATGCACAACTGAACCGCCCGAGGACCCAATGACTATGCCCGGCGCAATCCAAGTTACTCTTCACCGTAAGCGCAATGGGAGCCTGCACGATGTCGACAGTCACTGACGTTCGATAGCCGGCGACACCGTCTTCTACAACAACAACATCCTACACTGCGGAGCGTACAACCCAAGCCGCAAACGCGCCACCCTGCACGCGTCGATGGGTGACACTCGTGGCGGCTCCGCTCGTGCTCGCAACGTACTTCAGCATGGACTGGAGTGGATGCAGAGCGACGAGTTCAAAGCGACACTGGATGACAAGGGCAAGGAAATGCTTGATCGGCTGATCAAGATGCAGAAGGAGCACGCCGATAAACCTGTCGTATATTCGCTCGATGGTTGAATAACGTGCCAGCCGTAGTAATAGGGATGGTCACGTCGCAATGTACTGATAGTAGCAAACTACACCAACAATGCCGAGTACTGTGAAAACCGCTGTTTCTTACAAATCTTCTTTCCCGAAAGACGCGGATCTTGTGCATGTACGCGACCGAGCCTACTACAGGTACTTCCAGAACCACTCGACGGTATTCTTGAACGCTCTTTCCTTGCCGGCTTTGACCTTGGGATCGCGCTAGAGCCGTTCATGAATATATGCATCGGTCTGAGGAACATTACCACACACCAGATCGCCACGGATGGCAAAGCCATGCGTGCACTCTTCGAAGTAATGCATGTCGAACCCGGGCTTGAAGTTCTTAAAGAGCTCCCGCGCCTTCTCCTGCTTATCGTGACCGAAGGCCTCGTCAAACTCGCACGCGTTGATGAGAAGCGGGATCGGGACAGTAGAAGAGTATCTCTACGTCCTCATTAGCGCATGAAACCCGTCCAGTCACAGCCACGCACCTCAAGATCCTCAACGGACAGCATCGACGGATGCGCAGTGGCGGCGACGTCGATCTCTCCATCGAAGGTGAGATCGAAGACGATCCTGCCGCCATAGCAGTAGCCAGTCGCGCCCAGGCGACTAACGCCTTCGATCTTCAACGCGTTGATAACGCCCTTGACACGAGGGAGGTTGTGTGTGGGGCTGTGGCGCCCTATCCACTCTGGCCAGTCGAAATGGGCGCGAAGCTCGGGCTGAGTCGATGTGGTGAGATCGTGAGGGGCTATGCTGGTGTGGTATCACGCACGTCATCGAATATAGCCGGAGACACTGGCTCTCCCTCGAATAGATCGGGTATGACAACTTTATAGCCGTTGCGTGCGAAGTCGTCGGCAAGCAGCTGGGCGCGGATACGTCAAGCAGCGACGCTTAGATGGGATGTAGAAAGAACGAGGCATACGCGATTATTCACGAGCTCGAAACCGAATCCGTCGCAAAGATATATCACCGCTTTGGTCTTATCGTACTCGCCAGACGGCTCCGCGATGTAGCATTTGACGCCTGCGATGTCCAAGTACGAACCTGTTCAGGTTTAGAGGAAGCTCTTCAGAGGAGCATCATGCTGAGCTCACCGGCCGGCGTTCCCTCGTGGCGCACACCTATAGCAGTCGTCACAGGTGCGCGTTAGACTCTAAGCGCCGATAGACACGAACCCTGGGTGCAATGTTCGCAAGACATGTCAAGATGTCGAAGGTCAAGAGAGAAAGACTTGCGAGCACTATTCCCTGCGAAGCAGAGAGCCCTGTGAGATATATCCACAGTCCACTTGCGTGCGGGACCGAAGCGTGTCCGAATCAGAGATGTTTGCCGACGGAGCCATACCTCCGGGCATCTTTCCCAGCTGTACAGACGATAGAAGCAGTATCATAGGAGCTTCAGGGTTTAGCAGCATCTTTGAGCTTTGAAATTTGTACACGAGTACACTTCTCAAGAGCTGGGAATCGAGGCAAACTTGCTTCAATGATGCTACTCGTACACCCTTTGTCGAGGACCTGGAACTTGGAAATCTCGCAGTGGAGAGCAGAGGTACAAACTCGCAGTGCTGACAGCTGCGCACGCCATACCCTCTGCGGTCCACCTAGAGATAGCCATACGTGAGTTGTGAGAATGATAGGCATACGTGGTCGCTGTTCAAGACGCGTCGCGGTCGCGTCGTGAGCACCGACGGGCGCCTACGCGCCCTCGTGATTTGGGTCCTGGTCCGTGCGCGCAGCCATCCGACGACTTCGCTCGCTCTCGCGTACGGCAATCCTTACCACTCTGGCCTTTTGGCTTAGATCAAGTGTAGTATCTGTTCTTAATAGTTTAACCACTATTATGGGGGCACCGCCCCCATTATTGGTTATCTAATTTTTGCCGCCCTTGTTCCCTGGGCTCTGCTTGCAACCCGGGGACGCGATGACCTTGCCGCTGCACTACTGGCTTGTGTCGTCGGGGGATCTCTTTCTTCCCCTCCTCCCTTCTCTTCTTTTGGCTATTTCTGCTACCTCGCGTGTTCGCGAGGTCATGGAAATAGCCAATGGTCGATTGGGAGGAGCCTGGGGGTGGGGTTGTCTTCCAGTATATGTAGTGCATTATTGACATATCATTATAACCTTTTGTGCCCTATTACTGTCTGAGTTTGAATGTATGAACCAAAAGAAATGAATTGGCAATACAAAGAAGATCAGCGTGAGTGTGAAGTGGACTGTTGTCAAGACGGGTTCCTTCGAACACACTTGCCTGAGCAATACGTTTTGGGATGGAGGTACTATGGACTGCCTCCCAATCCGGCGTAGTGCCAAAGACAGCCCTATACCAACATGTGGCTCCTGCGACGTGGCGACGTTGGCAATGTTGCTCACCAGGCGTACGTGCGACTGGCGGCCATGGATCTACGTCTTTGATCATCATCCCAGTCTCGGTGCTAACTTTGGCTCATCCAAAGCGCCATCGAGCTCGCTGAGTAGTACGCGCAATGCTCCGACCCTACACATGCCCGTAATCGGGTCCCGCTGTAGCATGAGCATGCGGGTATTTCGTCGATGCGAGCGTATCGTCCGACGAGCGTCGCTCATTGCGTGAAGAAAGCGTCTTGAGGTCTTGCACAGCACGGACGCGGCGAACGGCGATGCGCACGGGCCGCGCAGGACCTTGGCGCATACCTGGACAGAGCTAGTGTGTGTACTACATACCACGCTGACTGTGTGCTTTATATAGACAGTCGATGCTCCTGCCGGCTGCTCGCGCGGGTTCTAGTTGCCAAACTGGAACGCGATCCGCAAAGGGACCAACCCAAGGGGTGTCCATTAATTAAATACCCTCCGCGAACCCCGGAAGATGCCGAGGGACGCGTCGTCTGAGCCGCCTCGGGAGGGAGCGGAGCCCATCATGGATTAGCCTAAGCGCAAGTTTGTGTGGTGCGATGGCGCAGTTGTTGCGCGTCGCGCTTCTCGTTTCAGTCTGAGGTTTGACCAGGGTTCGACTCTCGATGTAGTTTTTTTTTCTTCCTTAACTTGCAGTGCTTCTGTTCTTTGACTACTGTTCTATATCTCAGATAGCACACATAGATCAGTGTATGCACCAAGAGCTGGCACTCATATCGTGATCTCACTCCTTGGGAAAATGAGAGAAAACGGCCGAGAGTCGAACCTCGGACTCTGGAACAAAAACCCCGACGCGCAACAACTGCGCCATCGCACCATAGAGACTCGCGCTTAGGCTAATCCATGATGGCTTCCGGGCCCAGACGACGCGTCCCTCGGCATCTTCCGGGGTTCGCGGAGGGTGAGTGCCGCAATTTAATTAATGGACACCCCTTGGACCAACCTATGCAGTGGAGCCGCAGATCTTGGATATTCGTCGCTAACTGGATGCGCGCAGCACATCTCCGGTGACCCTACATGAGCCTGATAATGCCTATAACGAGTATCGCTGGTAGCGGACGGGACGGTCCAGGAAGACTCGGTTTAATTCTGATACAGCGGCCTTGTACAGCAAGCCTATAACGTACACGACACATACCTGTGTGCATTCTGGTTAGGCATGGAGCTATGAGCAAGAGCAAAATCACGCACGACTTGACAACTATCACTTCGCGTCTAGTGCCTCCTGTACGACGGCATTCCGTAGCCAGTCCACCGACAAGTCCTCCAAATGATCGTCGAAATCGCCGAACTTCTCATGTAACGATGTCGTGCGCACCAACTCGAGTACTCGAGCAGGTGTAGTATCCGATACTTGCACCGTGGATGCCGAAGTTGGACGATAGCCGGCGGCAGAGTGTATGTAGGGCTATTGTTGTTTGTTAGCGAGGGAGACGCCAGGTTTCAACGAGAACGCGAGCGTACCACTAGCGCAGAGTCGTCGGGGACGCCTACTTTCGCGCCGTCGATCTACACAGGGATGTAAGCCACGTACATTGAATACGACAATGTCATGCCACGTACGACGATAGCCAGGGCATCCGCGAAGCCTTCCTTAATCTTCTCTACGACGCGCTCTCCGACCGGTCCGAGTGTAGCAGCGTTCGCGTCGACGTATTCCATAGCCTGATAATAGCCGACGATGCTAAGGCCGCGGTCCGCGGCGTGGTTCCTAGTCTCCCTTTGCGTACGCTCCTCAGTGCACGTGTCCTGATTATAGTCAAAATATACGCACAATATCGAGGCCAATCTCCATCATAGGCGACAGACTCGTCCAGTGGTGTAGCAGGGGCACCGCGTCCGAGATCGTCACGTCCTTGCCCTTTCCCGTACCGAGCAGCACGCCGTTCACGCGCGCGTGTGGATGCTTGAGAGCATGAACCAGTATCTTAGCATACGCAATGTCGGATAAAGTGTATGATGGCATGTCTTCGTGAGGGCCAGAAGCAGGATGGAAGTACCGGGTCAAGCCGCCGCGGCGCACACGTCCACGTCCCGGCTCAGGGCTGTTGTTGGCTGTTGCTTTCCAACCACCATGTCGGTCTCGAGCTTGCCAGAGTAGCGCGCTTTCATATCGCAACAATATGTCCCGGACGTGCGAACTCCCTACATCGCTTATGATCCAGGGCGTCAAGTGTATCATCCGCCCCGAGGCTGCCCGTATTCTATTCTCAATATGTGGCCACACCGATCGACCCCGCTCAGCGGCATTCTAGCTTTCAAATCTCATGTAGAGCGCTGATCGCTCTTTGACCGGGCTCGACACAAGCTTGCCCTTATGAAGCCTTTTGACTAGTACCCACGAGTCTAAGCATCATTGCTCTCGGGTTTGGCGGTATGAAGTCGATACACGACATCTCCTTTTGACATCTCGATTCAGATATCAACACGTAAGATCCTAGACTGCACACTGTCTGCGGGAGTTGATAATCGCAGGGTGTTGTAACCAAGGTCAAGATTTGCCCTCGACCTCCCCGCTTTTCCATGTCGAACTCTCTTCTTAGCTACTCCAAGCTCGTCCTATCTGAGGACCGCGACTCCGAAAGCGGCCCTCCTCACGAGAAGAAGTCGGCAACAAATCCCGTGCACTCCGATACGAGCCAAGTCGAGCATTCTTTGCGGACGACGCGATCAAGCCCGACGCTCGCTCTCATGAAACGTGTGCGCCCAACAGGATCATGGGCGGCGTTAGCCCTGATGCTCGGCTCATACGTCGCCGCCGTCGCCATCGTCATATGCCACCACATCGTGCTCAATATATTTAACGGGAAGAGTGTCGGTGACTACTTCATCTCTCAGACGTGGGTTCGAGATATAGGCAACGCCTTGTCTCACGGTATTCAGCTACTATTGGAGACATCCGTCGGTGTCGCCTTAACCCAAAGCGTATGTTTCCCTGATCGTATGCTTCGTTCTTGCGTTGATCATGCTGTCAGATCTGGTTCTGCGTCAGGCGGTATGCCGCAACTTTGCCTGAACTGGACGACATCTATTCTCTTCCTTCTCTGTTCGGGATGACCTTTACGGTCTTGAGGCTGAACACAGTGTATCTTTTCCTGCTGGCGGTCATCATACAAGCCAGGTCTCTTGTCAGTATCTTTGCGCCCAATGCTCTATCGCTTGTTCCCGCCGATGTCGTCACCTCTTCTTTAAGGGTTCCCGTCCCGGACCTCGATATGATACCTGCGAATGACAGCGCAGTGTTCCTGCAGGCATTGACGAGGATCTCATCTCCGGTTTTCAACGGCAGTCTTGACGGCAGCCTCGCGCGAAGATTTGTAACGGGGTCCCTGACGACCGATAACAATACGTTTGTGTATATCTCCCCGTCTTCGCGGTTCAAGCAAACGGCACAGAATGTGATCAATACCGGGGCCATTTTGCCCTGGGAAGCGCCCGCGGGATGTGGGCTTGCATGCAACTACTCTGTGACGTACCGTGCTCCATCGTTGCGATGTCAAGACATCCCGCAGACCTCCATCGAAATGGTCGTTCTGACTTCCGATCAGGAGGCCAATTCGTCGTATTCTTCGCCGCTTCTTGAACAGCGAGCTCTCGCAGACTCTGTTCCCACGGCATACATCTCTCCATCCTCTCTATACAACGCGTCGACGACCTTGGGATATATAAATAACTCGGACCAGAATGTCGGTCCAGTCTTCAAGCCGACGTTGGACAGCACACCCTACTCGCTCTCTGTTCTGTATGCGGTTGCACCCTTCGATATGGCCACTACAAGCGACGCGTTGCCGAATGAAGGCACCGCCAGCGTGAACGCTGTGGCCGGCTCGTATTGCGTATTCTACAACGCGACGTATGGTGCCTCCATCTCGTTTTCCAACGGGACACAGAAGACCGTCGTGCGGGTCATAGAGCACGGAGATCCTTACCCTGGAGCGCTCAATGGATCCTTCCCACTACTCATTGATGTCACCTCCTCTCATTCTTTCCCCATCGATCCCACGTCACAAGGTGCTGCGGCTACGCTGGGGATCATCGACGCGTTGTCGCGGTATCTGACCGGCAGCGTATCATTCACGCAAGACCTCGGTTTCATACCCCTCGGTACCCAGGTTCTAGACTCCTCCCTCTTCACAGTGCAGACGAACAATCAGACAGCCACAATGTCCATCGCACAAGTTCGTAATCTTACTCTTGCTCTGGAAGACGTCTGCACGAACTTGACGGCCTCCCTCATGTCAATAACAGTAGGACTTGGAACTTATTCCACCGTCGAGGCTTCCGTTCTCCCGGACAAGACGGTGTACAAGTACCAGCCTTACCGCCTGTGGCTCGTATACGGGATAGCGCTCTTCGTAGCGCTAGTGGCTGACCTCTTCGGCCTGGCGTGTTTGCGCTCAAATGGAGTCGCGATGCAGCGCAAGGTCTCGTGCATTGCGGCGTCGATGCGCGCTCCAGAGCTCAATGAGCTTCTTAGCGGGCCGGAGGAGCCCCCGCGCGAGGCTTCGAAGATAGCCAAGCTGCAATACTGTGTTGGGGAAGGTGATTCAGGGGAAGTGTCTGGGTTTCACGTCGTGGATGGAAGAGGTGAAGTGGAACGGCGAGAGGCAACCAGTGGCTTGAACCGAAAGAAGCGGTGACGATCTTGAGGCGACTGAGTATTCACCTTGAATGTACTTTGGATACGTATATGCTTGCACGGATGTATCCAGCTCAGTTCTCGATCACCTTACTGAGGCAGGCGACGAGATGGCCGCGAGAGCTACAGTGCGATGCCATGTTGCGGTCATGCCTCTACCGGCAGATGCCGAAGCTTGACGATGATGGCCGTCGGAAGTCAGAACCACTTTCACCTTGCTTTTGACGATCATCACTACTATCCGCGTTCGTTGAACCCGCGCTCCCTTTCAATCAGCAATCACTACAAATGTTGAGACACGCAGGACCCTCCCTACCTTCTCGGTGGAAGCGTTGAGCCGATAGAAGCACCTCTTCAAACCCGGACAGTCCTGCTTGCGGTCAAGCGTCAGGGAATGCGGATGACCCTTCTTGTCGATATGCCCGTGCACCGCCGATCATCACAACACAGTGTAGTGGCTACTTGCCTGAGCGGGCATCTAGTACAACCCTCTCATCATTCAACGGATTGTTCTCTTCGCAGACCCACTTCTCAATCACAGTGTTTAGGCCTTCACGGGCTTCACGGAGACGACACGTACAAGCTCATTCGCCTCAGGAGCTATGATCTGTTGGGCTTAGCATGCATAGTATAAGCAGCGAATGACGCTTTCGTCGTGCTGCACTCCCTCTCCCCGCCTCCGCCTAGCCTCATGCCATCTACTCGCTCCTCCGTCGAATCAGAGTATCGTGTATCTGATGAAGGGAGCCCTCAGAGTGGCTATGAGAGGGTCTCTACAAGCGATAGCGTGCTCGTCGAAGTCGATGACGCTGGCAAACAAATGGACATGTTGGGTTCAAGCTCTACGGTCACGATGGCGCAGCATGTACTCAGCGTGGGTTCCCGCACTGTGCTCGTCTTGATGCTCGGAGCGTATGTGATTGCTACCTCATTTATCGTCGCGCATCACATCTTTCTTGTCGCTCTCAATGGCGAGGACGTGGGGGAGTATATCATACCCCAGACGTGGGTTCGCGACATCGGGAACGCACTGGCACGTGTAGTCCAGATATTGCTCGAGACATCGGTCGGAGTCGCTTTGACACAGAGCGTGAGTGTGTCCGCGATCTCTCTATAAGGCCATGCTCTGATCTCGCTGTCAGATCTGGTTCTACGCTCGGAGGTCCGCCGTGACTGTACCCGAACTCGACGATCTGTTCTCTCTCCCATCCGCCGCCAGTATTCCCTTCGTGATCCTGAGATCGAGCGCTCTATATGTGCTGCCGATTGCTGCCAATATCCAAGCCTTCTCCCTCATTGGCATTTTCGCGCCTAATGCCTTGTCCATCGTGCCTGCCGGGATCACTTCGTCGGTCTTGAGCGTTCCCTTTGTCGCTCTCGACCAGATTGCCCCTACCGATAGCATCATATCGCTCAGTGCCAATGAGTCCTACGGAGAGGTTGGATGGTACCTGTCTCCGTCTACGGGGTTTAAAACACTTGTTCAGACTGTACTGAGCAAAGGTGACATACTCCCTTGGAATGCACCTTCAGGATGCGGCTTGGCATGCAACTACAGTATTTCGTACAACGGCCCGTCTTTGCGTTGTCGGGATATAGACCCCTCGTCCATTGCGGTGTACCAAGACGACACTCTCAAAGGGGACGCCACTCTTCCTTGGCCCTATCACATGCCGAGCGATCCTGCAGACTGGAGGCCGGAGGCCACAATCGACGCACTGATCAGCTACAATGGGACTGGCACTCTGGGTTCCGCCAATCGCGCCGCGGGCTTATCCCTTGGCGCAGACACGTACACGTTGTCTCAAGAAGACGCTCCGTACAGCCTGTCGCTGGTCTACACGTTAACTCCTGGGCCATACGATCATGCCGCATACTATCCAACGCAGATGTACGGAGGAACGTATTGCGAGTTCGTCAATGCGACGTATGACGCCTCTGTTCAGTTCGTGAACGGCTCAGGGGCCATCGACGTGCACGTGTCGGAGTACCTGGGGCCATATCAGTCTTTCGTGGGCCTCAATACGACGACGCAACCTTCGCAAACCGCTGCACTGGGCTTGCTCGATGCGATGACGCGATATCTAGTTGGAACTGCGACAGTGACCGTTGTAATGGCGAGTTACAACACCCAGATTCTCGAGGGCGCTGCCCTTTTCACGATCCATGTGAACAGCACCACGATTGGACTTTTGCCTACAGGCGGACAAAACATCAGCCAAGCTTTGGAGAGCCTTTGCACGAAGTTGACAGCCTCCCTGATGTCGGACACCGCGAATCTTGGGGTACGAACGCAGGTGCCGGCCACAGTCTTGGCAGACAAGACCATCTACGCATACCAGCCCACCCGTCTCTGGCTCGTGTATGGAATCGCGCTTGGCGTAGCGCTTATTGCCGACCTCTTCGGCCTCGCATGTATGCGCTCGAACGGTGTCGCGATGCAGCGCAACTTTTCATCCATCGCCGCGTCCATGCGCGCGCCCGAGCTCAACGAGCTTCTCAGCGGACCAGAGGAAGCGCCGCGAGCCGCCGCGAAGGTGGCCAAGTTGCGGTATAGCGTCGGCGGAGGCAACTTGGGGGAGAGGTCTGGGTTTAGGGTTGTTGAGAGGGCGGAAGATGAAGTGCGCATTGGGGAGACGACGGCGTTGAACGCCGAGTCTGGAGAGAAGAGGGCGTGAAGATCTCGGGGTATCTGGACGTAGGGACTGCTCTTGGACTTGATTCAATCCATGGACAAACTTAAATAGCTGTAGCTGTGCTATGAACACGATAGACTTTGACTCGCGTTTCTTTGGTTAGCATCGCGCTCGCCAGGTGGCAGACGCTGGCCCCAGCGTCCATATTTACGGCAATACGACTTGACCCCAAACCTGGATAGCCGATGAGGCAGTCATTGCAGATGATACGATGATGGAGCATGTCCGCAACTGGCGGTGCCATGGTGTGTACAAGTTGAACATGGTGATCGAAAGCAAGACGCGCCCGGTCGACTGCGCACCGCGCTTGGACATGGACGACGACGACCTCATGCTCATCATTCCCGTCTACTTACGATATGGCGAGCTTCGCAAAAGTGTACATCGAACTGAACCGTGCCCATACATAAATTCCCGACCTGGAGAGTTGCTGTACTACATACTCTAAACGCCGAGCCTGGCGCTTCTTCGGATCGGTCTGGGAAAACGGCAGTGTTCGTATTCCTTCGGACCGCCACTTCCGTCCAGCTCTGTGCCTTCGCGTCATCCTCAGGAAGTCATGCTCCCGCTCTTCGCAGAATCCTGGTGGCCAAAGGCTGCCGGAGAAGTGACGCGTACTACCGCGCGCGCATGAGGTGTTCTATCAAAGATGTTCGGCGGGTGTGGCGAGCCGACGCGGCGTTAGCGTCGGTGTTTACGCCACGCAGCACAGGACTCGAGCCGGCGTACGTCGCGCGCTACGGCAGACAGCAGGCGCTCAGGAGAGTTCGCTGGAACGTTGGAAGCATATAAGGGCGTCGTCTCAGTGGGAACGAGATCTCATCCTCAAGGCACATATCTCTCTACACTCCCGAACGACAATACAACACTCGACGATGGAGATCCCCGAAGTCAACATCTTCACCCCCGTTCACGAGTACGTCTTTCATGCTCTGCTCTAGATCCGACAGATACTAATAACGTCCATCGCCACATCTCAGCGTATACCCTCTAATCGACCCATCGCCGCACTTCACCTCGCAAACCTACAAAGACCAAGTCGTCATCATCACGGGCGGCTCCAAAGGCATCGGCGCCACCGTCGCGCTCTTCTACGCCAAAGCCGGCGCCAAACTCGTCCTCGTCGCGCGCAACATCAGCGATCTCGAAGAGCGCAAGGCCGCGATCGAGAAGGACGTCCCCGGCGCCGAGGTGCTCGTAGTGTCCGGCGACATCTCCGACGGCGAGGTGGGGAAGCGAGCTGTGGAGGGCGCTGTAAAGAGGTGGGGGAGGGTCGATGTTGTTGTGGCCAATTCTGGGGTCGGTCAGGGTGGTGCGGAGAGTGCGTCGGATGATACTGTACCACGGATTGAACGATGGGGGTGCTGATTGTCGACGCTGTACAGAGTTCCACGAGAAGGACCCGTCCGAATGGTGGTACACGCAGGAGGTGAACGTGAAAGGCACGCTCAACATCGTGCAGTACGTCTCTGTTCACCCGTCTGCTCCGCGTTTTCAGGTACTCAAGTGTGTTGGAACCAGCGCTGCTATCCCCGAGCTCCTCAAGACGAAGGGCCAGGTGATCGTCGTCACCTCCCAACTGGCCCATGCGCGCGTTCCCATGCTCGCCGACTACAACGTGCGCCCTTCCGTCGACCCTGTTCCATATTTACCTCGCTCATCGTATTCCAGATCAGCAAGCACACCATCAACCGCTTCGTCGAGATCCTCGCGCTCGGTGCGTACTCTCTCACACCTCGCTCGCCAACGCTCCGAGTTAACTGACACGCTCCTCTATGTAGACTACCCCGAGCTCTCGATCTACAGCGTCCACCCCGGCGTCATCCTAACACCCGGCTCGTCCGACTTCACGGTGCGGATGGGCATGCCGAAGGACGCCATCAAGATGCCCGACACGGCCGAGCTGCCCGCTGCGACGTTCCTCTGGCTCACCGCGCGCAACGCGGAGTTTCTCAGCGGCCGGTACGTGTTATCCTACTCCAAACCACTAGAGGGTCGATGTGGAGACTGATTGTTTTTGATGTTCTATAGATATGTCCAGGCTACGTGGGATCTCGGCGAGGTGCTGGCTAAGAAGGACGAGATCGTACGGGACAACCTTCTGGTAACGAAGCTTGCGGGCCCCACCAAGTGACGACCTGTTTTCGATCAATCTCGGCCTCTCTGCGCACACTGAGTACCTACTGCTATGTTATGTTCGTAACCGCAACTACGTGGCCAAGGATGAGTGTGTTTAGCCCAAGATGTTCTTATTAAGCTCGATATCGATCTTGAGCAATGTATCTGTATACTTGATGCCGTGCGAAGTACATCCTCTCTCAAGCCCTCGTGTTGTTGACATGGAGGGTAGCCGGACTCCTCACTCCTTGTGCTGTTGAGCTATCCGTGGCACTGTCACGTATTGTCGGGACTGTAGATGGGCCCTGTGCTTTCTGCAGCACATCGCCCGGCGCGTCAAGCTCATAGCCTATTGTAACAGGCACGGCACCTTCATAGACGAGTTGTTCCATGCCGGTCGATATAGCAACGGCTTCGCCGCCCGCCGCCTCGAGCAGGCCTCGGAGATCTCTCGCGCGCGAGCGCGCCTATCGAGCAGCATCGAAATAAATAGCCACGCTTCGTACCGAACGAGTTTGGGCTTCCTCTAACGGCGCCGAAGCAGAGCTTCACCCATGATCTTTGCGCGCACTACGAGCATGAGCAGGTGCATTCGGCATTCGGCATTCGGCATCGCGAGCGACAGCTCTGAGGGCTCTGACGACCTCAGGCCGGAGGGTATGTATGGGCACAAAGGACCGATCCTATGCGTATCATTGGGTTCGGGGTGCATGCAATAACCATGCCCTGTACATCCCATCAACAGCTATAAGAGGAGACCCCGCGCAGATCCGACGATGGTCGACGACGTCCACTGTAACCGACTGACACTTGTCATCGGCGAGAGACGGTTTGTAGCTGAGCCGGAGCCGAGTATGTCGCCCCCCCTTGTAACACCGGCCACATATCATGAGCATAATGCGAGGAAGCCCACGCCGACAATTGCAGCGGCAAGCGGATGCCGATAAAAGTAGGCTGAAGCCCCATATATCGCAACGAAGCACTGGATGTTGTTACAAGAGGTATACAGAGACGATCCGACACGACCGTCGTGGATCGAGAACACACATACATGAGAGCACCAAGAAAGGAGAGCATAGCAAACGAGAACAAGAAGCACAACAACCCTCCATCGTACAAACACCTTCACCACAATGATATAGGCTCACGCCGGCCCCGCGACGGGCTCAGCCTGCACCGTCGTGACGACGTCCACGGCGACCTGTACCGCAGATCCACCATCTACACCAGAAGCCCATGAGCACAACCCACCCAACACATTCAACAAGATGAGTAAGACCTACCGACATCGGCGCCCCGCGCGAGCATCTCCTCCACAACAGCCTCCGCCGCCATGCCCGTCACCGCGCTGATATTCCCCACATCCACATCCGCATCCACCTCGCCGTCCGCATCTTCATCGTTCGCGCTCGGCCCCGCGCCCTTGTCCTCGTCTGCGGCCTCTTCCTCCTCTTCCTTACGAGGAGAAGACCTCTTGCGCGGGGAAAGTACGACCTGCGGCTTCTTCGCGCGTTTACTCTTCGGCTTGTCCTTCTCCGTCTCCTTCTCGGCATCATCGTCGAGCTCATCAACCTCCTCGTCGTCCCCCGCAGCCTTAGCCTTCGGCCCGCTCTTCCTCGCCGTCGCCGTCGCCCTCGGCTTTCCCCTCGGCGCACTCTTCCCCTTAGCCGCCCCCTTCTCCTTGGCCCCTTCCTTCTCCTTGGCCCCTTCCTTCCCCTTGACGGCACTAGCCCCCTTGACGTCCCTAGCCCTCGCACTCGGCTCCCTCGCCCGCCCGCGCGCCGCAGCGCTCACGGGCGCATCGTCCGCCGCGGCCGCGCGCGTGCGCCCGCGCTTGGCGGTCGTAGTCGGGCCGGGCGATGCGGGGCGTTTTTTGGGTTTGGGTGTGGAGCGCGGGGCGGGGGGTGCGGAGTCGAGGTCGGCTTTGAGGGATTCGAGGGCCGCGTCGTCTGTCGGGTGTCACGTTAGTATAATGAGGTGGGTGAGGAAGAGAGCGGGAAGAGGAAGGGGGGGAGGGGGAGGGGAGG